TATCGACATTTAATTTGTTAGTTACTAACCAATCTAAACCCAGAATAATTTCAGACACCATTTCATTAGCCACATAAAAGTCATGAGATGACTTGTTGTTTTCATCAAATTGCACATTCAAGGTGGTTTTGCCCAAAATCCCAATGGGAGAATTGTTAGCGGCTTCTGCAACAATATCGGATGGAAATAATGGGGTATCATCCAGTTTAAGAGGTTGCCACTGGTCTTTACTAACTAATGAAATAGATGCGCCAGTGTCAACTATACAAAGTTTGTTTTTCCCATTAATAGTAGTCTCGACCATAAGGGTTTTCTTCTTACTCGCTGAAGAAACGGTAGACAGTCTGATTTTTTAATCATTTTTCTTGGGGCTTTCACCATCTCTACTAGAACCCAGACCTCCCTCCAACTTGGCATTACAGAACTTTGCAATATGGCCACTATTCCCACAACGATAGCAAATGGTCACGTGTCTATCCATTTGCCAATTCTTATCATAACCTTGGAGCTTAGTATTAACTGGTTGTTGATTAGCCAAGAGGCAGGATTTTGCCAAATGTCCTGGCTTTTGACATGAATAACATAACTTAGTTTGTGGCCGTGCAGTATTATTTTGCCTGAAGTTGTTCATAGTAGGGCACTGTCTGGACACATGACCAAATCCATTACACGAATAACATGTTTTAGCAGCATTCAAAGAACTAACTGAGCCAATTGTTGTTCTACTTAATTTTTCTGTTGCTTCTCTGCTAATGTTTTCATTGTGGCATTTGCTGCCTCAAATCTTCGAGCAATTAACAAGGCATCATCTAAACTGTTTGGTGGCTCTTGTAACAACTTGTTTTGGGTGGCCTTATCTCTCAACCCCAAAATAAATTGATCAACCAACCTGCTAGAATATTCGTCACCATGTTTCGAAACCACATCTAGCTCCAGCTTCTCGCAAAGAAACAGCATACGAATCAACAGACTCACCAGGCTCCTGTTCTCGACGATGAAAATTGTAACGTTTCTCTGTAGCAGTCTGATTCCTTTCAAATAACGACTTCAACTTTCCAATCCAATCTTTGTACGCGTTTTCCCCTTCGCCAAACTCAACCGGTTCTGCCAAACGAAACGCGTCTTCGCTCAAATTAAACAACAGCGCAAATCGTCGCTTTTTAACATCTTCAAGTTCCACTGCTTCGAAGTACAAATTACATTTCTTGATGAACAAATCAAAGTCTTCGCCAATTTTAAACTTGTCGGGCCTTCGAAACAATGACAAAGATAACTTATTCGTCTCAACATTCGGTGCTTCTGCTTGCTCAGGCTCGACCGCCATGTTTGCACGATACAAAACACACTCGAAAAACAAGTCAAAATGTCACATCATTTCCACAAGTTTGGTCTCGGTGGGACCTCCAAAATTGTCACGAAGCACTACTGGACTAAGATAATACCAAAACTCTTTAATTATTTCTTTAATTACAATACTCAATAACGATTAATCTCCACGAAATACATCTCACGATTTCACCTTATTAACTCTACAATATCTCACTTCCATGCGGTTCTCTCTCCTCTAAAAACACATACACTAAAAGGCGCTAAGACACATACACTAAAAGGCGCTTAAACACATACACTAAAAGGCGCTTCTCTACACTGTATGATGCGTTTTTAAGTCCAATATTGTAATTTGCAAATTCTGAAGTGAAATTATCCATCGTCTGCCTTTCAGTATCGATTAGCGGTAATCAGGGTTTGAAATTCATATTTTTTCTCAGTATCCAACTGGGATACCAGAATTCAAATATCCAGGATTCAAGAATCGAGTATCCCACTTCTGGATACTGGTTACCATTGAGACCCTGTCCCATCCAAATAAGCAGCTGTGGTGCCTAAATTACATTGAATTTGTACTCGAGTAAAAGTAGAAGTAATTAACAATAAAACGATTTGAGTATACAAGTAAAAAATACCGGAGACAAAACGTACTTAAGTAAAAAGTACAAAGTATCCTTAAAAAATACTTGAAGTAAAAAGTAAAAGTACTATTGCCTGTAGCGTGGGTGGACTTCTCCGATGGATTGACATACAAAAGACACTAAACAGCACACACATTTAAGTGTGCACCTATAGTAATATACAATATTTCACGGCATGGTCTACTTTCCAAACCCCGTTGAAGATATAAGAAATCCATTAAATAAATAATGCTTATATATAAGTAAGGCACAAACGAGAGATCTCAGATGCATGTAGAGGTCCTATTACCTATCCCAAAATTAGAATAAATCAGAAATAAATCATGTAAAATTGAACAAAAATTAGAAAGTAACAAAATACTTCACCAAAAATGATAATAACGAAGTAAAACGTTACTTCTTGCAACGACTTTGTTCCAAGTAAAAGTACTCCAGAAAAAGTTTACTTTGTTACATACTCAAAAATAGTACTCAAGTACAGTAACGAACTAAACGAAGTACATTTACTTCGTTTCTTGACACCACTGCAAATACGTTTCCATAACTCTCACTGTTACAAATTACAATAAAATTAATAGGAGATTCAACAGTCAACAACTAGACAATGCACATATTAATATGAGGAAAAGCTTGGGTGGCAAACTCATAGTATTCAAAAGCTATCAGGAGGTTGGCAGGTGTTAATATCCAGTTGGGATATAAGTCATTCACAGTTGGGAGTCGAAATAATTTCTGTTAGCCGTGCTTGGTCCAAACTTGCTCGCTTCGCTTGAAGCTTGCAAATTGCGAAAGGGGACCAGGTGGACATATACAGGCAAACAAAAAGACAGATAGGTGGACATAGACAGTCAAACAAACAAACAAACAAACAAACAAACAAACAAACAAACAAACAAACAAACAAACAAACAAACAAACAAACAAACAAACAAACAAACAAACAGACAGACAGTTTGAAAATGCAGTTGTGGCTTTTGAAAGCGGAGTTCTGGTATTTGAAAGTGGAGTTATGGCATTTGAAAAGGTAGTTCTGGCATTTGAAAACGGAGTTTTGGCATTTGAAAACGGAGTTCTGGCATTTGAAAACGGAGTTTTGGCATTTGAAAAGAGAGTTTGGGCATTTGAAAAGAGAGTTCTGCCTTTAGAAACGGAGTTCTGGCAGTAGGAAACGGAGCTCTGGTATTTGAAAACGGAGTTTTGGCGTTTGAAAAAGGGAGTTCTGTCATTTGAAAACAGAGTTTTGGCATTTGAAAACAGAGTTTTGGCATTTGAAAAGAGAGTTCTGGCTTTTCAAAACGGAGTTCTGGCAGTTGAAAGCGGAGCTCTGGCATTTGAAAACGGAGCTCTGGCATTTGAAAAAGGAGTTCTGGCTTTTGAGAACGGAGATCTAACAAATAGACAGGCAAACAAACAGACAGATAGGCCCCAATGGACATAGAGTTTGGTATCCAAAATCAAATTTTAGCATCCCATGGATATTGGGATACTGCAAATTTCAGACACTGGATAATAACTATCAATAACAACCAAAGCAGATCAGTCAATTAGGCTGTTGCGGTATTTGAAAAAAACCCGAAAACCAATACCGATAAAAATAATACCGATATATCGATATTTTTTCGCGATTGTATTTTGCTTAATTTTATTGCAAAATTTGCTTGATTTTATGCAAAATTTTCTGTTTTCAAATGACGCCAAAAAACACGCGATATAACAAGAGAAATGTCCGCTTTGGGAATTGAAAATGCGTATATTTGCATCCGCACTCAGAATGCCAGAATTACCACACTCAGAATAATGAATCATGTGTTATATTTTTGGCCCAGAAATTTGTTTCAAAACATGTTAATCGAAACAAAGATTGTCGTATCTGACCAGATAAATAATGTCCAATGAGGTTAGTTTTTGTTTTTTTTAAACATTTGTAATCCAGCGTTGTTTAATACGTAATTCTAAAAGTTCACTTTTTAACAAGCAAAATGACATATTACACCTTGCAACGACAACGTAAACAACCACGTTTAGTTCTCGCTCTAACCCTAATTACGGATTTTCCCGCGGAGTTAGCACATTGATCGTATTTGTTCTTCTGAAATAACTCCAATCAGCGCTTGAAAAAGCTTGATATGACGCTTAAATATACAAACGTAAACATGATATCGATAATACCGAGAAATATCGATATTCCGTTATATCGAAAATTTCAATATCGAGTAATCGGTATTTGTAAAAACCCGATAATTATCGGTATATCGATATACCGCAACAGCCTACAGTCAATTGATATTGATGACAGTTGATAATCACAAAAAAACCTACAGTATGCCAATGTTATCAATTACTGATTTTTAACTGATATGTCATGCTCCTGTTCAAATTGTGAATAACATCAGAAGTGATTCAAAACAGCCAAAAAATGACGAAGACTATAAAAGCGACTAAGATTCGGAATGTTTATATTGTCAATACCTTTATAAAGTATATGTCAAAATATTAATCTCAACGTCAGAATGTAATTTAGTTCACAATGATGTTATTTTAAAATGTCAGATTAAGTAGCTTTGCTGATTATTTTCCGATTGATCTGCTCATCTCTAGAATAAGACATGCATACAAAATACTGATTTTTTTCTCATTCTTTGCAGCTGTGATGCTGATCCTGCAGCTCTGGCAAAATATGTTGTTGCGTTAATTAGAAAGGATAAACCGTTGGGAGAATTAGAAGAAATTTGTATCGATCAACTTGAAGTATTCTTGGGTGGCGGTAGGTTTTGTTTATAAATTTATCTAATACTTAGCAATAGGCTGATGCGATATTTTCGATAAATATTGATATTTCAAAAATATCGATATATTCGATGTTCCATTTTTCGCACATCGAAAATATCAAAAGTTTTAACCAGACAACTTAATTTCGTTTTTTTGGCCATTATTGTCCGGTAAAGTTTAGAAAACATGTGTATGAAAACAACGTTTGAAAACAATTAGCCATTCCGAAGTTGATGAGAGGACTGGAGACGCGTTATGTTCGTTGGGTCGTACAGTAAATGTAGTAGTACTGTATAATAGACGTTTGACTGGGACCAAAGAATGGACTGTCCGCTAACGATAGATATCTGCTTCAAAGTGGTGTATGTAAGGAGACATTCCACTGTATCAGCTGGTCTGTGACATAACAAGTCCCTGGAAGAAATTGATCATTTGATGCATTAATCGTATGTTTTCTTTATTTTAGAGACAGTATTGTTTGTGAAGACATTGTTTGAAGTACTTCAAAATAATTCGTATATCCCAGCCCCACCAAAACCCACGACTCCCCTTCCAGCTGAACCTCCTAAACAAATTAGTCCACCCACCAAAGTAAGCAACCCGCCCAAAGTAAATAACCCACCTAAAGTAAGCAACCCACCCAAAGTAAGTAACCCACCGAAAATATATGACCCACCCAAAATAAATAACCCACCCAAAGTAAGTAACCCGCCCAAACAGATTAGCCCTCCGAAACCAAGTAACCCGCCTAAACAAAGTAGTGTTTCACCAAAACAAAGCAGCACCCCAAAGCCAACCATCGGTCCAACTACACCAACTACACCAAAAGCAAGTGTTTCTCCCCAACAGCCAAACGCTCCTTTATCCCCAAGGCCTGTACACAAGAGATTGCTCAGTACAGATGAAAGTTTTAGACCTCAAGCTGCAGAGGTAAGTACTGCACTGTACATTTGATTGTACTATTGGATTAATAATTACATAGATATAGTGTATTCTACAAACATTTCTTACAAACATGTCAAAATGTGTACCATATGTCGCTATTGGAGAGAATCAATAGTACCAGTATACCGGTGTATTTTCAAACACTAGTCTGGCCATATGAATGATTTAACAAGACGCCTGCTTAGGCGTTCACACTAGAGACCTTACGATTTTAGGACGGCACCGCGACGGCAACGGCTACCAATACAATAGATCATTGAAAAGAATTGAGTAATTACAATATATGAATAATTTAGACATTGTCCTCGCTCTGTTTACAACGCCAAATCACAGATTTTCACGTGTTGATACAACGGCTGCATTCCAAGCCACAACAAGTGCAACTTCAAACTGGGTTTAGCAGAACTCTTCCCAACCATAAAATCCATGTCAAGTTCTAAGACTGTATTAAATGCATATGATTGATAATATACGACGAACTGTATTTACTACCATTTATTTGAAGGAGTTTGTTTTGGCCGTCGTGTTGCCGTCCTAAAATCGTAAGGTCTCTACTGACCTGAAAATGACGACATACGTGCTATGGTGCAATAGACAAGGAATACAAATCGTGAAACGCAAAGCGTGAAAGGCTGAAAGTGTGGCGTGATTCTGAGGAGATGTTTTCGTAATGTCCAATGAAACACAAGTATTACTCACAAATGACAAACGTTATCCATAAATGCACATGGTCTCTGAGCATGTGATGCGTTATAACGCAGACAACATTATGAACATTGTTTACATTCCGTGAGTCTGTAACTTATAAAATTCGAAAAACTCAGCGATCCAGATATCGCATTTCCAGAGACTTTGCACGGAAAAAAACACCAAGTCAACCTCCAAGAAAGTGCACTGTAGAATAAATCCAAAATCCACAGAAAAAGGCGGTAAAATTCGCTGACAAATGAAGAAATTGTTTGAGACTGAAGTAGTCACTCATTGAATAGCCACCATCTTGAAAACTGATTTGTATAGTGAGACTGAGTCTGCGATTCGCTAACGCAAACTCGATTTCTCGACGACGAAAAACCCCAGGAAAATACAAAATTGGGGATTTAAGATTTTATTGTTTATTTGCATTCTTTAACAAATTACACTATTCAAGGTAATTCTTTATATCCCCCCCCCCCCTACTTTGATCGTCTATAAGCCATTTGATCCTCTGGCTTTGGCCTTACTCTGTAAATTACCTGTAATTTTTTTCTTCTGAATAAATATTAACATATAATATATATTTACTTCAGTCCTCGGTGTTGGATGAAGATGATCGTGATTTCAAACGTACAAGAAAACCTGTAGAAGAAACTGAAGAAAAACCTATCTTAATAATCAACCGTGATTATCACTCATCCCACAAAGCAAAGAAAAGACGCATTGAGCCAGACCACGATAGTGGGACACGTATTAAACTTTCGAAAGACGATACCTCAGAGGATGTAAAAACTGAAGAGAAATTCAAAGTTAAAGAAGAAGAGAGTTCTCGAACGAAAGATGATGAAAGGAAGAAGGACGAAGACGTTTCAAAGAAGAAAGATGATGAACAATCTGTTGAACATGATCGATCTGAGAAGAAGAGAGAAAATTCATCAGGTAACTTAGAATATCGGCCAGAGAACCGTCTGACATATGGGTCGGACATATGTATTGTTATACCTGTATGTCCGATGACTTTGAGTTCAGTTTGACTTGGAAATAAGTATATGAATGCAGGCACAATTTAATATCAGCACAATTTGGAAAAGTCATTTGAATCTTGGCAATGAATTTCCGAACCCACATTTTCAGTTGACTATTTAAACATTACTCCGATTCTCCATTTAACATACTATAGGGTGCATTTTGATTTACGTTTGACAAATTTACAGTTAGGTCGGACACCAATTCACTCGGGTCGGACAAACAATAAACCTCAGTTTCAATTAGGTCGGACAGAATGTCCAGTGGTTTCCTCGCTGCGGCGGACAATTTCACGAACGATTCGGACGATGTCCGTGACCGATCGATATATTTTAAGGCCTGCTTCCCGGAATATACAGGGATTTATACAAGCTCCTTTCTTGAATTGAGTATTGAAACTCACTCTCTCTCTCTCTCTCCATAATAATATTTTACACAATATGCTTCGAAGAAATTGTGGCAAATGTGAATAATTAACTGTAGAAGGAAGCGGGTACTTGACCGTTGTCTATTCTTTAAAATGCCATTAAGAACTTTTTTAAAACGATTATATTTTTGCTGTCTGAATGGGGAAAATGTTATTTGTTAGCGACAAAATGAACAAATTTACTGGGTGGGGGGATTTTGGTGGAGTGATCTCCTGCTAAAACAAAATGTTCTTCCGAAAAAACGGTAGTTGATTAAAATGCTTGTATTAAATAATCCCTAGCTGGATGTGTCCGCTTAACTAGGTGTCTGGATATTTATAAAGATTATGACTAATGTGACAAGCATGAGCAACCTATCTGGATCTGATTTACAACGCGAGCCGTAGTAAATCAGATAAAGATCCCAAACGTAAAATACAAACCCATGTAGGTAGTCAGTTTATGGTTCGTTTTGCCGAGAAAATAGTCGTGGGTTTCCCCCGCGTACTCCGGTTTCCTCCCACAGGGAGTGTTGACGGGAATGTTGTCAGGGTTGATTAGGATTTTCCCTAAAAAGTAACCCTTCCATCGTAGTTGTGCTCCGTGATGGCGAGTCAAAAGGTGGCTGCTATATGCGCCCTTAGAAAGAGTAAGACTTGCACTCGATCACGTTTAGCTGTGTCTTTCGTAAGTCAGGTTAGCTCTCAGCAGCAAGTAAGGATAATAAGTACACCCCCTACCCCCTAGCAAGCGACATTTTTGTCGACACGGACGTCACCCGAAAATTGGTGTAACTAATTTTGGCGGCTTTTCGCCTCATAGCGTTCGTGTAAGGAAGCAAATGTTTTGTCATATGTGTTGACGATTACCACAAACCAGGCCTCGAATTTCCCTGAACTCAATCGACGGCAATGGCGTTAAAAATTGCCGTAGAACGTAACAGCTGTCTACGGCAATTTTTGCAGTTTCCACGGCATTTTTCTAGAAACATGTCTACGTATTTCTTTAGTGTTTTCTTTCGAAGAAAACTGAGACTAAAATAGTGATTTACGCATGATTTGATCAACATCTGAATTCAAGTATCAAAGTAGTAATGCACAATGAATAGTATAAAAATTGCACCATACGGCAAAAAATTGCCGTCGTTGCCGCAATGATCCACGGCATTTTGTTCTCCCTCTACGGCAATTGCCGCGATAAAATTCGAGCCCTGCCACAAACTGACACAAACACAGTTTTTAACCCAGTCCTCCCTCGGCAATCTGACGTCCGTGTTCACAAAATCGTCGCTTGCTTAAGCTCACTAATCAATTTCAGTGTACATTGGGCCAGATATAATAATTTATTGATTTATACTGCGCAATTATCAATCTTACAATTTTCAAATGCGCATTTATTTACAAAGATTTAAAAAATGACAGTATATCTAAATATGTTACATATAAGATATCCGTAAAGTTTAGCTTAACCGTTCCAGGACAGCTATTCAAAAGCTTGACGGAATAAAAATGTCTTTATAGACTGTTTAAAAATATCTAAGGATGAGCAACTTTTAATATGATATGGCAAAGTGTTCCACAGTGCATGCAGAAGCTGTTATTCAAAATGCTCTATCGCCTAAAGTCTTTAGTGATTTCCCTGACGGAACAGGGAAATCACTGAAGACTTTTGGCGATATATCATTTTGTATGGCAGCTCCTGCACTGTGGAATACTTTGCCGTATCATATTAGAAGTTGCTTATCCTTAAATATTTTTATACAGTCTATTAAGACATACAGTATGTCTGTGTTTGCTTGATATGGAAGTGCGCTTAAGAGAGGCGTTCGTTAATAGACAAAATATTTACAATAACGTTTTCTGTCCTTCGAAGTACTTTAATTATACTCGTTATTTTGTATGCTTGACGTTTTGATGTGTTTTTAGTAAGATATTGGGCATAATACCAAGTTAAATTTGAAACTCACCTGTTCCTGCATTCTTAGATCGAGAAGTTTCCCAACGTAGTTTCGAGAATTCTAAAGTGAAATACGGCAGATTTGATGACAACAGATCAGTGAAAGGCAGACTATACAAAGGCAGACCGTGGATCAAAAGAGGCCGTTGTCGTGATTATGATGGTAAGGAAAATGTAACTATGCAGGAATATGAATAGCCTGTGTACAGACCACAGATTAAGTAAGGACAGATGTGTAACTTCAGTAAAAAAGTTGTCCCATGGTCGCCATCTTCCCAGCAAATGTCACTGGCCTGATAATTTGTCATTTGGTAATACTGTACGTCATTGCTTTCAAAAATGCTTTTAACACCTTTTCTACAACTCTAATTACTTTAATTGCTTTTAAACGTACAACAAATGATGCTCATGATTGTTCAATTCATAAATTCCGATCCAAAAAAGCCGCAATAAAGTGCAAAAGTTCGTGTTTTTTCAGGACGCCGTTTTGCTATCAAGTGCATGTCATGGCGTGAGCATGACGTGTACATCTAGGGAAATTTTAGGACACGAAGTCCTATTAAGTTACGCATCTGGTATATACTTAATCTGTGGTACAGACTGAAAATTCGTGCTTGTCGACCCCCAGCTGCGCTACCCTGGGTAGTTGATTCTGATTGGCCATAGTTAAATTCAGTAGATTCTGATTGGCTGAGTTCAAACGTCAACAAACTTCTGACTTTTCTGGCTAACGTAAACAAATCACATCACGATCAGGAATTGCCGTTATTTTCAACTCGTTGTTGCATTTCATTTGTTCAATAGGCAATTCCAGTTTTTAATTTATGCGCGCGGGGGGTGACAGGAAGTAAGGTATCGTGTTGCTGATTATGCTGTAAAATTTCAATAAAAACTGCCGAAACAACCGAAATATTTCAATATTTACAAATAGAAGCTATCACTCCGTGTTTACACGGCCGCCATTTTTATTTTTTCCAGCATAATCAGCAATAGTGACTATGTTCCCATTCCCCCTGCACGCATAAACTAAAAGCTGGAATTGCCTGTTAGATATTATATTAATCTGCACAATACTGTTTCGATTTTGAAAATCAAAGTCCAACGGTCGTTGATATTTATGTCAAGCCAATCAGAATCTATTAAATTCAGTTGTGACCAATCAGAATCAACTACCCAGATCTGGATAGCGCTGCTGGGGGTCGTCAAGCAATGCCATAAATTTCCACAGTCTGTATTACAGCAAAAAAGAGGGTAGGATAATGAACAAGCAGGGCTCGAAATAGCGGGCTGCCAATGGCCAAAAGCAGGCCATATTTTAAAAATGGCAGGCAAAAACAAATTTGAACTGCCAAAGTAAAAAACAAAAAGGGAAGGTGAAATTCTATAGATATATTTAATTTCATATGCTTACCACAACTCATATATACTAGATCATTTAGTTGACTAAATACGTTTATATTTGAAATGTATAAATCCACGTTTACTGTATAGTAAAATAGACAAGTTTAAAATAAATGCATGTCATGAAAACATTGATTTTTTATCATGTGACTCATTGCACTCATATGAGACGTCGCCATTTTGGCAGTTCAATGAATAAAATTTATTTCACCTGCCAAAACATTTTAGACTGGCAGGCCATATTTTTTCTCCATTTCGAGCCCTGTGAACAACTGATGAATTTCCCACGTACATGCATGTACATCATTGAAATTGAGAACACTTAATTGTTACAATAACAGGAGTATTGACTATAAATGCTTCTATAATTGTTTTAGCAACCATCAAAGGTTCTGTATTATAAAATATCACCCCATGCTATATTTGTGTAGAGAAAGGATTTTGCATGAGAGGAGAACTCTGTCCTTATGATCATGGCAATGACCCTCTTGTGGTTGAAGATGTCAACATTCCAGGAATTGTGCTTGGTTTTCCACGTGCGCCACATCCCGCTGCGTTTATGGAAGCAGCAGCATTAAATCCTGCAGGTCGGTCTAAGATCATTTTCTTTTGCATGGTCAGGGATATTTAGTAGCAATAAAAGGATTGCAAAAATGATAACAATTTCCGCACGTAATACAAACATATACAAAATTTGCAAACTTTGCAAGACTATATTTTCATGCAAGCTTTTCAACATTTCGCAACCAAATTTTCCAATTTTACTAATTTCATTATGTTCATTTTAGTTGTGGTATTTTATTCCATTCTCTTTACTTAGATTAAAATTTAGTCTAACATGCAAGTTATCCATTGCGTGTAAAGCATTATCCAACCTCACGAGTATGTATATGCTAATTGTGGTTATTATTACTACTCGTAGGTTTAATCCGAGCGCCAATGCCACCGATTCAATATCCTGTCCGTCCTTCAGCACACGTGACTGCCAACGTTCACGTTCCAACATCAGATCGTCCAGATGCTGGTGGACCTCGCACGACTAATGATGAACGTCGTCCTGCTATCGTTCCACCACCAATCGCTAATGTGAGACCTCACATTGGAATGACACGCTATAAAGGTACCGAACGCATGTGTTCAACAGAAAGCTGTGGATTGAATGCGATTCAACTATACACACTTAAAAACGCACAAGTTGTTACAGGTCTGCAACCAAGTTGTTACAAATCTGTTCACAAGCTGTCGACAAGTTGTGTTCGCACTGCTTGTTCCCAGTTGTTGTAACAAGTTTGGAACAAGCTGTTAACAACTTGTACCGAGCTTGATGGCATTATCAGACTTGTAGCAAATTTGTTCTAACAAGTCTAATATTAATATATTATTGTCTCAAATGGAATAAGCGCAAACAGGACGTGCATGCCACAACATACAAGACAATTATTTTTAAGAAAATCAGCTTTATAGCAGAACATGTACTGTATGTTACACCAAACACGAGATTGCGTGGGAAAACTCTAAAATAATTACCACAATCGCTCTGGTCAAAGACTTTGCCTAGAAGCGTGGCATATAAATATGAGTAATCATGCTTTGAATAGGGATGACGGTGCCTATTTGCCAGAGGAATACATGCATCTCATTGGCAGGTGACGTCATCCCTTGGGTATTTAAGAAGCCACGATTGCAATTTTAGATCACCCCTGATGAAGACACTAGACTGGAGTGTCGAAACGTTGGGTCTTGATTACAATTCGACTGGGCTTTGTAATCATTTATTTAAACCAGAGTAGCGAGCGAAACATGATTGATATACCTGGTTGCAGTGAACGAACAAACTTTAAGT